ACTACAGGCTGGTCTATGCAGGAACTGTAACAATTGGCCAATGAAATTCGTTCCGAGATGATTTTTTTTCTTAACATTCCTATCTTCCAGTTAAAAAGAAGAGCACGATGAATCTAATAAGTATCAGTGTTTTAATATTGTATATACGTTTGTATATACATGTAAATATATTTTGAATTACAATACTGCATATATATATTTATAAATATGTAAATCCTTCACATGATACAACATTATATTGTGAATAGATCTAATATGCATCAATGTTTTATGCTCAGGGATCACAACAACGTTATTTTTTATTCTGTACATTATGTATATATATAAATATTATAAATAATAATACCATATATGTCTGTATAAATATGTTCATACAAATTTTATATTTATTATATAATACAATACTATATAATACATATATATATATAAATATATTTTAAATATAACTATCATAGCATTATACTGCATTCCGCACTCGTATAAACTAAAAAAATTACTGAAATTGCTGGCATGCGGATAGAATATTTTACTGCATGGAGCCAAACAGACCTGATCAAATGGACCATACAGTATATAGTAAATTCGATGAGGGGCAAAATCGTCAAATGGAAGCCCATTAAAGCTTACGGTTCTGTGTCTTCTGACAATTACAAGTCAGAATCAAACGCTCTCTCTCTCTCTCTGGCTTTCGTCTCTTTCCTATTAGGTTCGTACGCAGAGAAACATTAATCATTACGAAAGGGAGAAAAAAAAAAAAAAAACAGAAACAGAAACAAACTCTGCTTCTGAATTTCCCTTTTTTTTATCTTTCTTTTTTGGTATATGAACAAAAGTCAAAATTCTTCCAAAATATTGGATCTTTGATCCTCTTTTCACTGTGCGAAAAATCCCAGAAAAAAAATCGTAAAAGAAAGTGTAAAAAGCTTTTTGGACGCCATGATTCTCATTGTCCAGTGGATTTATTTTCTGAAAAGTTTTTCTTTCTTCGTTTCAGGTTCCAAATTCGTTGAAAGAAGAGCACCGACCTTTTGAAAGAGGTACAAAGAAAAACTCTCTCGTTTTGTCATCTCTTTACATGATGATCTTTGATTTTGGCACTTTTGTTGTTATTTATTTCTTGGATGTTGTTTTTTTTCTCTCTCTTGTTGTTGTTTTTTTTCCCCTTTTTTGCTTTTCTTTTATGTAAGTATGAATTCAATTGATGGTCGTTTAAATTTCTATTTCCTTGATCACATCATTATAATGTCAAATATGGTATTGTTTCTGTTTCAAATATGGTACTATTACTGTAGTTTTTCACTCCTTTTATTTTCTTGTGTTTTGCAACAATTTGTTTTAGTAAGTGTGCCCGTTGGAAGTTGTTGAGCCATATGCGCCCTTTACTTCAAGTTTCCTTTCCTCTCCTTTTCAAATTATTTAATGAAAAATATATAGTTCTTTATGAAAAAGCAACAAAATTTCCCATATCCGAATTACCTCCTCTTAGAGGCCTTATGGTCGATGTGCGCATGGATTATGGGCGTTCTTTGCTTCTGTGTATCTATCAAAAAAAAAAAAAAAAAAACGTATTGACTCTTTTCCTAATAAGCCAATGGTTTATTTTTTGGTTAATCGATGGTTTAAGGTTAGGTTTAGTCCAAAACCAGCATATGTTCTAACAATTTGCAATTTGTGAATGTGTGATGAGAAAAAGTCTTGTTGCTGCCCTCCGTGTAAGCACTGTTTTTGTTTTTGTAACTTCTTTGTTTGAATTTATAGCAAGTGCTTGTAGTCGAAATGAGCTTAGGTACAATTTTCTGTTGGTTATGGTTTTCACTTAGTTGGGAATATTAGATATATGTTGTGCCTAATTCTTTGTTTCCTTGTTCCTGGTTTTGCGAAGAACTAAGGCGGTTTTTGTTTTTGTTTTTGTTTTTTTGTTTTCGTTTAGTGTGCTTCATTCAGAATGGATCACCCAGGGCATAACCAGCCTCCACCTATGATGATGGTTGGTGGTGGAGGTCAATTACCATATGGTGCTAACCCGTACCAGTCTAATCAGATGCCTGGTAACCCGACTCCAGGATCAGTTGGATCCATGCAGTCTGTCAGTCAGGCTGCTGGAGCCCAGCTTGCGCAGCACCAACTCGCGTATCAGCACATTCAACAGCAGCAGCAACAGCAGCTCCAGCAGCAGCTCCAAACATTTTGGGCGAATCAGTACCAAGAAATCGAGAAGGTAAACGATTTCAAGAATCACAGCCTTCCCTTGGCGAGGATCAAGAAGATTATGAAGGCTGATGAGGATGTAAGAATGATATCTGCTGAGGCACCGGTCATATTTGCCAGGGCATGTGAGATGTTCATCTTGGAATTGACACTGCGATCTTGGAATCACACTGAAGAGAACAAAAGGAGGACATTACAGAAGAACGACATTGCAGCAGCGATTACCAGAACTGACATCTTTGATTTCTTGGTTGATATTGTGCCAAGAGAGGATCTTAAAGACGAAGTGGTTGCATCGATCCCAAGAGGCACTTTGCCTGTTGGAGGGCCTGCTGATACTCTCCCTTACTGTTATATGCCACCTCAGCATGCTCCTCAGGTGGGGGCTTCTGGGATGATGATGGGCAAGCCTATGATGGACCCGCCTATGTATGTGCAGCAGGCTCCCAACCCCTACATGGCTCAGCAAATGTGGCAGCAGCCTTCTGATCAACAGCAGTCATCCTCGGATCGTTAGTGGCAAAGCATGGGAGTTGAGAAGTGTAAGTTTGTTGTACTTTTATCTGCCACTGATTTGTGACTGAAATCTGGAAAAGGAAGTGGCTATTTCATCATGTCATTGCAGGGGAATATGTAACCTTTTGGCTTGAAAACTAGTGTTGTTCTACTTTTACGGATTTACGTTGTGAAGCATTTGGATAGTTATGATCTAGGTAGCAAAAGTTGGTTTGACTGGTTGTACTGACATGATATACGTTGCTTTAATTTGAAAAACTATGTCGTTAATGGTTTCCTTGTGTGCGTCTTTTTCTTGTAATCGAAACCTGGTGTGTGAGTGTGCGTGTGTTTTGTTTTTTAATCTAAAAGCCTTTAGATTCTCCTCTTACTAATACAAAAACACTGCATTTGAAAGCAACTTGAAAAACTATGTCGTTAATGGTTTCCTTGTGTGCGTCTTTTTCTTGTAATCGAAACCTGGTGTGTGAGTGTGCGTGTGTTTTGTTTTTTAATCTAAAAGCCTTTAGATTCTCCTCTTACTAATACAAAAACACTGCATTTGAAAGCAACTTGAAAAACTATGTCGTTAATGGTTTCCTTGTGTGCGTCTTTTTCTTGTAATCGAAACCTGGTGTGTGAGTGTGCGTGTGTTTTGTTTTTTAATCTAAAAGCCTTTAGATTCTCCTCTTACTAATACAAAAACACTGCATTTGAAAGCAACTTGAAAAACTATGTCGTTAATGGTTTCCTTGTGTGCGTCTTTTTCTTGTAATCGAAACCTGGTGTGTGAGTGTGCGTGTGTTTTGTTTTTTAATCTAAAAGCCTTTAGATTCTCCTCTTACTAATACAAAAACACTGCATTTGAAAGCAACTTGAAAAACTATGTCGTTAATGGTTTCCTTGTGTGCGTCTCTTTCTTGTAATCAAAACCTGGTGTGTCAGTGTGTGTGTGTTTTGTTTTTTAATCTAAAAGCCTTTAGATTCTCCTCTTACTAATACAAAAACACTGCATTTGAAAGCAACTTGAAAAACTATGTCGTTAATGGTTTCCTTGTGTGCGTCTCTTTCTTGTAATCAAAACCTGGTGTGTCAGTGTGTGTGTGTTTTGTTTTTTAATCTAAAAGCCTTTAGATTCTTCTCTTACTAATACAAAAACACTGCATTTGATTCGTTGATACTTCGAAACGGAAACTGCCATTTAGTGTTATCAACAATTCCACTTAAAAGACCCCTTGTATGAAAGCAACTGCAAAACCTCCTTAAGAACTCACAATGACGTGTACCAACTCTTGTCTGCCCTTGGCCTCTCCTTTTTACTCTAAACATCTATGTTTGTGTGGTCTCTTTTGCCTGTGCATATTCAACTTGAATTTAAGTACATATTTATATTGCTTTTTTGTTGTGTAAATATCTAATTTCATTTATTGTTGTTGTTGGGCTTCTTTTTTTCTTTTTCTTGTTTATGTACTTTTTTTTTTGTTTGGTTGCTATTCTTCCTCTATTAACTTGCTTTTATACTTGGTGACAGGTATCTGTACGGCCTCATGAGATCTCACAGAGAAATAATGGCAATCAAGAGGTGCAGTCAAGATCTTTAGAATGAACACAGACGGACTCCATGTATAGATAATATGGTTCAAAGGCGTCATAGGTCTTGGTTGAGCCAAAATTTTTCTCCTTTTGGGTAGTTTTTAACTTTTATCAGTCCATGCCAGTAATGTGACTTAAACAATGCAAGTTATCAACCTCATAAGTAATGCTTCCATCTCATTTCTCTTGTATGTGAGCAAGTCTTGTCTTTTTTTTTTTTTTTGATTTGTTTATCTCGCGCGCTTTTCGATTCGAGGTCGTTGTCTAATTTAGTTTAACTGGCGCTTTTGATAGTAGCTCTTAGGACTCTTGGAAAGTTGGAATATAAATGTTTTCCGACATGGAAATGCCAATGTTGCGGTCAACTCGGTGAAAAGCTGAAAATGGCTTCCAGTTAGAAGACCTTTTTGCTTGTTTCAAGCTACAACGTGAGAGGGAAAAATGAAGAAAGCTTGTGTGTTGTTACTCCAATACTGCATTGTCCTCTTGATAATCGGTAAGATCAGAAAATGAAACTTTTGTTGACTGTTTTTAAAAAAAAAAAAAAAAACGAATTATACGAAGGGAGTTCTTCAAGTTAATGAAAAGCCAGTAATGCGTGTTTTTTGTTTTTTTGATTCAAAATCTATACCTCAACCTTAGCGGATTAGCGGCAAGACAACCACTTAAGCGTGTTGACTCAACGGAGTTGGTAAAGCTGGATTTATAGCCATTGCATTCATGGTGATTTAAGGTTTTTCAGCCGATTGTTTTAGCAAAATTTACAACGACTAATTATTCAACAAGGCACCAGCTTATTCATATGATCTACCATCTCTCTCTTTCATAACAATTCCCTCGAGAATCCCATCAGTGCCAAAATTACCTGAGAACTGTTGAGGATCAACTGGACCGGGGAGCTTAAATGAGATGGAGAAACGCCCAGCCGGGCAGAGGTTCTGCGTCTGCATTTCAAACATTTGGGAGTACCTCAACACTGTCTTCTCACCCGTTGTAGCAACTCCTCTTATCAATACTTTCCCATCACTTTCAACTTCACAGCTGAAATCTCCTGTAGCGAGTAACCAACGAAAAACATCGAATCACGTCAGTATTGATTTTGGCCAACATAAATTCCACTAAATCACTTAAAAATGTTTGAATCCCAGAGCTCAAAGTGATGCAAGCACAAAATGAGTAAAAGACCAGAAGATAATTATTTCTGCATTACTTTTACGGCCTTCTCCAAACAACACTTGTGATATTTAAATACAAAAGCTAAAATTAGAGTTTTCAGTTTTCAAAAGCATGTCTCTTCAGTTACTTATGTACATTTAGATCTTGGCGATGTTGATAAGAGTAACCAGCTAATAGTAAGGAATTCAAACAAGCAACTTCAAAGATAAAAAGTAAATGTGCATTCAGCAATGGAATTCAAGTCTTGAACTCACTTGCATCTCTTTTCACCCCTGGAAGAGATATGCGAAACAAGTAAGAGTCCTCGCATTCTCCAATGTCCATGAGTCCTATGCTTGGCCCCATATTCCCCATGGCTGCACTCCCAGTCAACGCAAATCCACTCTTAGTGGCAGCTACTATGTTAGACAACTCTGATTTAGTTGGAAAAGGAAGAAATACCATAGCTGGGCCAGCTCTGTCGACCAGATCGCTATTGAGATGAACCATTAGATGATCATGTTTCAGAGGATCATCCAACTCGAGCAGCTCATCTACTCGTCTTGTTTTCTTAGATTCACAATCTTCATCAGGATCATTCACCTCAACTTCCCCAATATGTGAAACTTCACCATCAGTAACGTGCAACCTTGCAGCATCTTCATCAAGAACAAAGTCCTCCAGCCCAGTTAGCCTCCTGAATCTTTTGATATCCTTTTGGTCAATGTAAAATATCTCTGGCTCGTTAATAAAAACAATGTTTTCAACAGTCTTGTTTTGGCTTCTGTGCCGTGGATGTAGATGAAGTGAGAGAGGAAAGAGATCGGGAAACTGAGGGTAGCTGGCACTTGGGTTTTCTACGTGTTTAGGAAGATCTCCCTGGAAGAACTGGCGCAATAAAGGTAATAAAACTACAAAAGATTGGTCAGCCTTTCTAAGAACATAATGGTATATCCGTTCTATCTCCAATGTTTTGATTTGTGACCCAGCCAGCTGATCAGAGGTATATAGTGGGAGTCCCTCAGCGATTCTCTGCAAAACTGACTTTTGGGGGCTCTCCCCTTTGATATCAGGGCCAAAGTAGGTACCCATGATGAAGAACAGCAGAAAACGCTGATCATTATCTGCCATCCCAGTTTGAGCATTGTCAGGATCTAACACTTTGTCAGGGTTAGAATTTGTGGTTTGAGGTGAGCCATCCATTACCGTTGTAGATATAATCCAGGATACGTGTCTAAATTATGCAGCAGTAAGGACATAATACAAGGACATTAGAAAATAGCACGTGGAGAAGCAATTATTTTGAAGTTGATTTTATTTATTTATTTATTTACTGATGAATAAAAATAGCCAAAAGCATGCCATGGACAAATGAGAAAAATTACAAAAAAAAAAAAAAAGATTCCTAGTCTCTGCTGTATCTTTCCCTGCATAAACGCGCTGGTTCAGTAATGCAATGTGTAACAAAAAATAAAATTTCATCAATCCCAGAAATTTGTTCTTTCAAAAGTGGGCATGCCCCTTTTAAATACGGCGATAGTGGTCTCCTACCAACATGCACAAATGGGAAAGAAAATATTACTCATGAACACAGAGAAAGGGCACAACCCCAAAAGTTTAATGTTGAGTCACTTCTGTCTTTTCTTTGTATGTAGATAAGTTGCCACTACCTTGGCAGCCTTTCTTTCGTCAAAGAATTTGGTTCTGCTTTCTAAATCTTCATCATCATCACTATCATCACCACATCAATATCTAGAAACCAGGTAGACTCATCAGTACTTCTAGTTTGAGCATCCAATTTGGCATATAATTTGTAGAAAATCTTCTAGAAGTTAGCTGTATTTTATTGTAAAACAGAAACCATGTATATTGAAGTAAATTAGGGCTGATTGTTAGGAGAATATTTTTCTGATATAGTTACCTTAGTTAGGCAGATCTTTTTCCTATTTTTTAGGATCTTAACAGATCTCTTTTCCTGTATATATTTTTCGATCAGTGAATGAGAATGATTATCATTTTTCTCTTCCAAAATATTCTACATGGTATCAAAGACACCCTCTGTGCCCTAAATCTGCCGCCGTCCCTCCTTGTTCAGTCCCTTATCGTTGTCTCTAGTTGAATCCTCACACCATTGCTCATTTCTCCTGCTCTCATATTTTTTTTAGTCTCAATCATGGCTGAAACAGATCAGTCCTCTTCAACCAGTATCACTTCTCCATCTGGTTCATCTCCTGCAATCACTTCGGCTATACGTGAGAGCAATCTGATTCCTGTTACCAATCATAAACTGAATGGTCACAATTATTTGCAATGGTCTCAATCCGTAATGATGTTCATCAGTGGCAAGGGTCGTGATGATTATCTCACCGGAGCAGTAGCTCCACCTGACAAGTCCGATACCAGCTACAAACTCTGGCGCTCTGAAAACAACATGGTTATGTCCTGGCTAATAAGTTCTATGACCACAGAGATTGGTGGAAATTTCCTTCTTTATTCCACAGCTCGAGATATCTGGGAGGCCGCTCGAGAGACATATTCCAACAGTGAGAACACCTCTGAATTATTTCAGGTGGAAATTGCACTTCAGGACCTTAATCAAGGGGATACAACTGTCACCTCATACTTCACCAACCTAACTCGAAACTAGCAGCATCTTGACTTGTTTGAAACCCATGACTGGAAATGTCCTGATGATGGTGCCAAATTCAGGCAAATAGTGGAGACCAAAAGGGTTTTCAAATTCCTCATGGGACTTAACAAATCCCTCGATGAAGTTCGGGGTCGAATCCTTGCCACCAAGCCTCTCCCTAGCCTTCGAGAGGCCTTTTCTGAGGTTCGTAGGGAAGAAAGTCAAAGAAAAGTAATGCTGGGACAATCAGGGGCATTATCAACTCCAGAAGGTTCAGCCCTTGTGGCTCACGGTTTGCTGCCATTACAGGAAGATGCCTCAATCCAGGCTCATGCTGCCCGTGGTCCTCCTCAACATTTGAATGACAACAAGCCTCGTAGAGGGAGACCTTGGTGTGATCACTGTCGAAAACCAGGTCACACCAAGGACACCTGCTGAAAAATCCATGGAAAACCAGTGGACTGGAAGCCTAACCGTGGGTCTGCTGAGCATGAAAACCGTGGGAATGCAGCCTCAACAGAATTCACTGCTGCATCCTCTCAAGCTCCATTTACAAAGGACCGAATTGAGGTCCTTCAGAGGCTAATTAGTCAAGCAAACACTCAGCCAACTCCTACTATTATTGGTACAGGAGAACTGCTCATAGAGGTAATATATCCATTGTTTTTGGTGCAACCAGGACACTCTCAAATACATGGATTGTTGACTCTAGCGCATCAGATCACATGACTGGAAATAAATCTCTGCTCACATCATTTAGTCCGTGCCGGAGTCCTCTCACAGTCCGTGTAGCCGATGGATCATGCTCTAAAGTGGCTAGAATTGGCACTGTTAACCTATCTCAGAACCTTGTTCTTCATTCAGTCTTATTCGTGCCTAATTTACACTGTAATTTACTGTCTGTGAGCAAACTTACCAGTGATTTGGACTGTGTTACTAAGTTTTCTGCCAAAACTTGTGTTTTTCAGGATTCGGAATCGGGGAGGATGATTGGCAATGCTGAGCTTTGTGCAGGTCTCTATCTCCTCACTCATGATGATTCACAAAAAGAAAAACTTTGCAGCAAAGTTTGTGTCAGTCCAGAGAGTCAGTTACCTAGTATGTCCTTGTCTTCGAGTCTGTCCAAACAAGATAGTGCTGTTATGATGTTGCACTATCGTCTAGGTCATCCAAATTTTTTGTATCTTAAACGACTATTTCCATAATTATTTATCAATAAAAATTCAAAACTCTTTCATTGTGATATATGTCAATTATCTAAACACACACGCAGTTCTTATTCACCTCAACCATACAAGTCCTCTCATCCTTTTTCACTCATACATAGTGACATATGGGGTCCCTCAAGAGTTGTAAATGTCACCGGGGCCTGCTGGTTTCTGTTATTTATTGATGATCATACACGCCTAAGTTGGGTGTTTCTAATGAAAGACAAATCTTAAACTAGTCAGATATTCAAAACATTTTATGTCATGATCCAAAATCAATTCAAAACCAACATTCAGGTTTTCAAAATAGACAATGCCCGAGATTTTTTCAATTTTGTTCTTGGAGAATATTTGCAAACTCACGGTATTATTCATCAAAGTTCTTGTGTCGACACACCCTAACAAAATGGCGTAGCCGAATGCAAAAACCGTCATCTTCTTAAGGTTGCTCGCTCTTTATTGTTCACCTCAAATGTTCCCAAAAGATTCTAGGTTGAAGCGGTTCTCACAGCTACTTATCTCATAAACAGAATGCCCTCACGAATCCTGAACTTCAAAACTCCAAGGCAATCATTTCTCGAAGTTTTTCCAACCTCTCACCTTATTACTCAGATTCCCCTCAAGGTCTTCGGCTGCTCTGCCTTTGTTCATGTCCACTCACAAAACAGGGGGAAACTAGATCCTAGGGCCACCAAATGTATTTTTCTGGGTTACTCACCAAACAAGAAGGGGTATAAATGCTACTGTCCACTCACAAACAGGTTCTTCCATTCCATGGACGTCACATTCTTCGAGCATCAAATATTCTACACCAATTCCTCTATTCAGGGGGAGCAAAGAATGATGGAATCTCATAATTGGGAGTGGGATTCTCTTCTCGAAAATGATTCAGAAAGTTCCAGAAGTCCAATTTTGAGTGCCTCGGCTCCACCAGCAGAAACAACACCCCTCTTCACTGAGTCAGCCGAGCCCCTCCTCACTGAGTCAACCAAGTCTCTTCGTGTCAACCCTGAAACCCAATCTGGTCAAGAAAAAGTTTCAAGCCCTGTTCCAGAACCCAGACCTGGTCCAAATCAAACTGCAACAGATAAGGACATTAGTGTCTACTCAAGGAGAAAATGTCGCCAAGAACAACCTCAGCTGCAACCTGCACAAACTCAGCATTACCAGGACTCTTCCTCGGCTCCAACCTCCTGTGAAAATACACAAGGTAAGGCTGAAATTACTCCTGTTCCTGTGTCTGAGCAGTTTGCAGATCCTAGTTCAAACCTGGATATCCCAATTGCAGTGCGGAAAGGAATTCGACCATGTACACAACACCCTCTTCGCAATCATGTGTCATATGCGAAGTTGTCCCCAACCTATAGAGCTTTTGTGTCCAAGCTAGACTAGGTCCGGATACCCACTTCCATCCATGAAGCTTTACAAATACCCGAATGGAAGGCAGCCACTCTGGACGAAATAAGAGCACTTGAGAAGAATGGAACGTGGACGATTACTACTCTGCCTCCAGGTAAGCATGCTGTGGATGTAAATGGATATTCTCAGTGAAACACAAGGCAGATGGCAGTGTGGAAAGGTTCAAGACTCGCCTTGTGGCTAAGGGGTTTACTCAGTCATATGGAATAGACTACCAAGGAACATTTGCTCCAGTAGCCAAGCTAAACATCAGAGTTCTCATTTCCATTGCAGTAAACCAAGAATGGCCGCTGTTTCAACTTGATGTAAAAAATGCCTTCCTAAATGGAGACCTCGAGGAAGAAGTTTACATGGTAATACCTCCAGGGTTTGAAGATAATTCAAATGCCAACAGAGTCTGTAAACTCAGATTGTCTTTGTATGGCCTCAAACAGTCTTCTCGGGCATGGTTTGACAGATTTACTAGAGTACTCAAGAAGGATGGCTATGTTCAATGTCAAGCCGATCATACATTATTCGTCAAACATGCTACTGATGGAAAAATCACTGCATTGATTGTGTATGTTGATGACATAGTCCTCACAGGTAATGATTGGGAAGAAATGGATTGCCTAAAGAAGCTACTCTCAAGGGAATTTGAAATTAAAGATCTTGGACACCTGAAGTATTTCCTTGGGATGGAAGTGGCTAGATCAAGCAGAGGTATCTTGGTGTCACAACGGAAATATGTCATGGACCTACTCAAGGAGACATGCATGGTAGGGTGTAAACCAGTTGACACTCCTATGGATCCAAACACAAAATTAGGAGTGCGAACAGATGGTACAGCAGTGGATAAAGGTAGATATCAACGCCTTGTGGAAAAACTAATCTACCTTGCACATACTCATCCAGATATTGGCTTCTCAGTAAGTGTGGTTAGTCAATTCATGAACAACCCTTCAGAGGAACACATGGAGGCTGTGTATCAAATCCTACGATATCTCAAGAGAGATCCAGGCAAAGGATTGTTATTCGAGAAAACCACAGACAGAACTGTTGAAGTATTCACAGATGCCGATTGGGCAGGGGCGTTCACAGATCGAAGATCGACGTCAGGTTACTGTTCATTTGTTTGGGGAAACTTAGTGACTTGGAGAAGCAAGAAGCAGCCAATCGTTGCCCGGAGCAGTGCAGAGGCCGAGTTTAGAGCATTGGCGCATGGGATATGTGAAGGAATGTGGTTAAAAAGGCTTTTGCAGGAACTTAAAGTTAAGGCAGAAGGTCCTATCGACATGAGGTGTGATGGTCAATCAGCTATAGCCATAGCAAAGAATCCAGTCCATCATGATAGGACCAAGCATGTTGAGATAGATCATCACTTTATCAGCGAGAAGATTGAAGGCAAAATAATCTCACTCAACTATGTTCCTACACGGCATCAAACTGCAAATATCCTAACAAAGGCACTCCACCGCACTAACTTCCAAGAACTATGTTCCAAGCTAGGCATGATGAGTATATACAGCCCAGTTTGAGGGGGAGTGTAGAAAATCTTCTAGAAGTTAGCTGTATTTTATTGTAAAACAGAAACCGTGTATATTGAAGTACATTAGGGCTGATTGTTAGGAGAATATTTCTCTGATATAGTTACCTTAGTTAGGCATATCTTTTTCCTATTTTTTAGGATCTTAACAGATCTCTTTTCTTGTATATATTTTTCGACCAGTAAATGAGAATGATTATCATTTTTCTCTTCCAAAATATTCTACATAATTTTCTTTCAAGAAGATGATTGAAGGGTCCAAGTTTAGATTGGTGTGGAACTTTGGCACCTAAGCCAAGCCTGCAGAAAGAAATGAAGAGGGTTGGTTGAAAGCTAGGAAGTAACAGAATAACAACTACTGTTGAATTTCCAAAGATTGTTACATTGACCTAGAAGGTTAGCCCTCTACTTCAGTATGTTCATCGTCTACAGCTCTGGTCATGTTACTAACCCATTTCTCAGCCCAAATTGGTACAATTTTATCCACAAACAAATATATTTTTAGCAGCAGATGACCAATTCACAAGGACATTGTGAAGAGGAATGTGTGTTTTTTTGTGCAATCAACAGTATTTTTGGAAAAACTAATTAGAAGGGAGGCCGCATTACAATTGAGCACAAAAAAATGCAATGATTCACCGTTCACAGGATAGTGAGGAAAAATTTACCAATTTTAATGCGTTATCCAACTTAGCCATTTTAGATGGGCAATGTTTGGGTGGCTCCTCCATGGTACTCATTGTAGCTTCCTAGTTGGCCTACAATGTAAAAACTCATTATCAAGCCCAAAAACCACCATAGGTCTAAAAAAGCAATAAAGATAAGCAAATCTTTTCTTCTGTTTTTGGCCTGAAAGTTTTCGAATCAATACATCAAACTCTCAGCCAATTGAATTGCATATTAGTCATTCCAACGCTGTTAAGTAATCTCCATCGATGATTTAATACCAGTGGCTTCACCTTATGAAGCAGCCCCGCCCTCTTAAATTCTTAATCACTCTTCCAGGCCCTCTTTTATTTAGCCAAAGAGGCAGATTGAAGCATAGTAATCCCTTAAGCATGTTTCTACAAGGTCTTTTGTTTCGGGGCAACCAAGGAACTGCCAATAAGGGCTGCTAGTGATTTTTGTCAGCAGTCTGCGGACTTTAAGCTTATGTAGGACTGGCTTAAAGGTGTTCCATACCAAACTAAAATTAGACCCTTAAATGAAGGCTGTGAGAGAAAATCTCATAAGGAAGTAAAATACTCAAACTAGTAATGCTGAGGAGTCTCTCAACTGCTACAGATGGATATGGCGATAATATTGATGATGGAGCGAGAAAAAAAGAAAAGAAAAGTCATTTGATTCTTTACCGACAAAAAAAAAAAAAAAAAAAGTCTTGACTTAAGAAATTAAAGGTTCCGTCCTTGTGTGGCTAGTCACCACAAATACCAACTTTTCTCCCTTTAGAAAAGAAAAGTCATTTGATTCTTTACCGACAAAAAAAAAAAAAAAAAAAAGTCTTGACTTAAGAAATTAAAGGTTCTGTCCTTGTGTGGCTAGTCAACACAAATACCAACTTTTCTCCCTTTGGACCTCCGCAAGAAAATTATTGAAGTTTTGACACAAAACAAGTAACAGCAAATAAGCATTATCACTAACACAAGAAATTGAATTCTGAGTTTTATTATGCAAATATAAAATAAAAACTCATCACTACAGCTCAAACCACCGAAAGAAAAAGATAGAACACATGAATTCACCAATGAATCTCATAATGCAGTGCCAATAATGAAACGGAAGTGAATTAAACCAAAATCCAACAAATTTCTCAGCTTCAATCCTACATGCAACCACCAAAACATTCGATAAAGAAAGCACATAATTGGTAATGTAATTAATTGCGACTATTCCTGTAAATTCCGAAATTCTCTTTCTAATATTTGTGACGAAGAAATCAAGCAAAACAATTTGCAGTCTCATCAGAAACAATTGATTCCCACAAAATCACTCTTGTGGAGCTTACGAAAAAGGAATCTACAGGAGCTTACGGCTTACCTCGTACGAAGCAGAGCCGCCGGAGGTGATTTGTCGATAGAGCGGGTCCCGGCGCCGGAAAACACGATCTCCGGCGGCGAGATTGCAACGCGAGAAATAGGAGAGAAAAACGAGAAGACGATGACTTAACTAAGCAGGCTTATTTTCCTGTTCTGTTGCTCCTTAGCCTTTTTTTTTTTCGCGGGAGGGTTGTGAGTGATCGTTTGCGGTTAGGCCCCGAAAAATAATAATTTCACCAATCAGATAAAGCCACTATCTAAGCAAATGAGTGTCGTTTGAGTTACACGTGCCACGCATGCAAAAATGCCATCTTCGAGACGCTTTACTCGTCGATCGAAATCCGACGGCTGACAATATTCGACACTATCTGTGCTATTTAAAAACCGTCAGATCAGAATTGGTCCGGTCACATCTCTCAGCTTTTTCAGTCTACAGAGAGCTCGGAAGAACACACTGTTGTACTTTTGTTTAAACGCACAAAAATTGTTTATTTTTCTTTTTCATTTTTTCGCATATTCTTCGACTTCTCTCCCATGGCGTCTCCTTCCTGGTAAAATCTGAGCTTAATTTATATATATATATATATTGTGTGTAATATAATACCTGTAAATGTATGTGTTGTTTGATTGCGCGTGTTACGGAGAGCTATTTTTGTGATCGGATTAGAAAATGGGTGTTAGGTTTTGCAATTTCAGCTCTGGTTCTTTGTAATAATGTATGTTGTACTATTTCAAATTCAAAGCACTGATTTTATTTTTTTTGGAAAAAATTGTTTTGAATCTTTGTTGCGTTTGAAGAGGAAATTCCTCATCAAATTTTGGAATATTGCAGAGAAAATCATAATCCTCTTTTCCGAATCTTGGAATAACTGTTTGTGAAGTTCAGGTAGGAGAGAAATGAATAGTGTAGTGATACATTGGTTTGATCTCACAATAGTCTAGTTTCTTTACTCTAGAATCTAGATTTGCTTGTTCAATGCTGTAAGTGTTTAAGTCCCTTTGTAACTCTACAACTAAGAAGATTGTAGAAATTGATACATTGTTGACATATTTAGTGGTGTTATGTGTGTGTGTATGTGTGTAAAGAAGTGTTTATGCAAGTTAGAAGTTTTTGTTGTTTTTCATTGCAACATCATCTAATATAGTTTGTTATACACCAATCTGCATATAGTTATGAACTTGAGGTAATCTTACAGCTTTGGGAATCCAAGAAGTGAAAGTGGTGAGCCAGAGAAAATAAATCTCAAAAGACCAATTCTTGCGGTGGCGCCTCTTGATAGTATGCCGTATATTGGTCCGCCGATGCCTGGATTTGCTTGTTCAAAGCTGTAAGTGTTTAAGTCCCTTTGTAACTCTACAACTAAGAAGATTGTAGAAATTGATACATTGTTGACATATTTAGTGGTATTATGTGTGTGTGTGTAAAGAAGTGTTTATGCAAGTTAGAAGTTTTTCGTTGTTTTTCATTGCAACATCATCTAATATAGTTTGTTATACACCAATCTGCACATAGTTATGAACTTGAGGTAATCTTACAGCTTTGAGAATCCAAGAAGTGAAAGTGGTGCGCCAGAGAAAATAAATCTCAAAAGACCGATTCTTGCGGTGGCGCCTCTTAATAGTATGCCGTATATTGGTCCGCCGATGCCAAATAGCTACACTGCTTCGTTGCCTGCTAAGGACAGTGTGAATGTGGAAAGGGTTGGACCAGCTATTATATTTTTGTCCTCTTTCACAACACGGGAAGACTGGGATAATTTAATGGCGAGCAACAAACTTGGTGTTGCGCTGACAGGAAGCGCTGCTATGGGCAAGATTGGATCAATAATAGGACTAATGGACATTGGCGAATGTGAGGATTCGTACTTGTTTCGTGTCTCCCTTCCTGGGGTATCAAGGGATGAGAGTGAGTTTCTCTATCATTTTGTCATTGTTTACGATGTTTGGTCAAATCTAATGATTAGTAATGTTATTGAATGGTTAGCTGTTGCTTTTAAGCATGCCTTTCTCATCTATATAAATTATCTGCTTGTTTCTATGAGATGTTCAATCATATCTACTTGTGGGTAGCATTGTATTTCACATTGCTGTTTAAAAACATTGAGTTCGAAATTATCTGCTTGTTTCTATGAGATGTTCAATCATATCTACTTGTGGGTTGTATTTCACATTGCTGTTTAAAAACATTGAGTTCCACATTACTGATAACAATGTATCTGGTCATCTTGATGAGTCCGGTTATGAACTTTGCCTGTGCAGGTGAATTTAGTTGTGACATTGAACCTGATGGTAAAGTACTAATCAAAGGAGTGACTACTACTGGGGAGCAGATAGTGTGCAAGAACTCCCAAATCTTTCACATGCTCACACGAAACTTATGTCCACCGGGACACTTCTCTATCTCATTCCAGCTTCCTGGTCCAGTTGATCAGCAGCAATTTTCTGGATCTTTTGGGACTGATGGGATTTTGGAAGGCATTGTGAAAAAAAGGTGAACCAAATTTTTTTTTTCTTTGTTGCTGTAAGCAATGCATTCGACAATGGAGCCTGGCTTTGTTTGAGTAATGGACTTCGTGCAATTAGTGTATTATATTTTAGAGAACGTTGAAGAAGAATGTAGCTCAAGAACTTAGCTGAATATTGGAATATGATAAGCTCTTGTGATGCGGAGAGCTCAGTTAAGTTGCATTGTATTATGCAAGATTTGACTTTTTAAAGTCAAGATTTTTTGCTTTATTTCTTCTCTCTAGACTTGTGTTCTTATTAGTCTCTAGTCATTTGGCTTGGTCACGATATTTCCTTTGCTGTAAAGTTTATCCGGTACAAGATCAGTTACTTGTGAAAGTGTGGGGGGATGAAGAAAACTGTTTTCTGCACCGTTTTCCTCCCTTTGCATTAGAGTTGGACTTTTTTCTTGTTTTTTTTTCTTTTTTTTTCCTTTTCTTTTCTCTCCTCTTCTGAAAATGTCCTTTTGATGGGATAATTTTGCGAGAGTAACTTGCCGTTGTAATTTTCACCGTGCTCGCTCTTACAGCAACATTTATTGTTGGAAGAGTGTCGGATAAACATTGTTCTTTATGACTTTAGCCTATATCATGCTAGTAATAAATTATCTTTGAAGTAATTTGCATTTAGATCATGTTGCCAGAGATTCAGCTAAATTTATTAAATTTTAAAAGAAAACATGTTTAAGCCAGTTTAGACCTTATGGCTAATGTACTTCTATGTCAGCGTTATTGGCTCAATACCATTCATGAATGTTATCTAGAGAATACAAAGGAGAGCAACACTTGGTTTAATTTAATATGTGAAATATTGATGGATAAAGGAGGCGAGTGGCATGTTAAGTGTGTTCTAGCTTTCTAATTAACTTTTTGGAGAGGTACGAGGAATTTGGGAGAAATCCCTAGCTTCACTTGGATTTGGGGAGGTCAAGGGGAAGGAAGTCAAACTCACTTCTATTCAGACTTCGGAGCTTATAGGCACGGGCAGGTTATGAAGTTTGCAGCTTGGTCTTTTGGAGGAAAGTAAGAAGAAAGTAAGTGAAACGGGAGACATTACAGCCATTATAAGCAGATTGGGCGAGGGGAAGCACAAATTTTTTTAATGCTAGAGATGTCACATGCATTTAGAAGAACTCCTCTTCGGGCATGATTAAGTGAGTCTGATCTGATGTCTAGTTATTAATTGCCATTTCCATTATCTGACTTTTGTTTCTTTTTGTAATCTTTTTCTTCTTCCTCGTTTTCATGTGTGTCATATATTTTACAATTGTTGCTTTCTTTTTATTATTAGCTTGCTTTGTGCTCAAATTGATCAACGTAAAGAATGTCGTTTTAAAGGTCCATAAATGCAATATATGAGAGCGAAGAGGAACTTGAGAATTCTGTTTTATTACTGCTAAATCTCGTGAGAACATTTTGCCAATATAGCCTTTACCTCGTTTTAAAGGTCCATAAATGCAATATATGAGAGCGAAGAGGAACTTGAAGGACATTTGAGAGCAGAAATAGAATCCTATGGGGGTAAGCTTATGAACTCGACTTGAGAATTCTGTTTTATTACTGCTAAATCTCGTGAGAACATTTTGCCAATATAGCCTTTACTAAACACGAAAACATCCAATGCAATTAAAAGCAGATATGCGAATTCGAAGTGTGACTGGTTTAAAAACAGATATGGAAATTCGAAGTGTGAATGGTTTTACGATACCACCTATGGATATGGAAATTCAAAGTGTGAATGGTTTTTCGGTACCACCTATGGATATGGAAATTTGGAGTGTGAATGGTTTTGCGGTACCACCTATAGATATGGAACGTCGAAGTGTGCACGGCTTCGCTATACCACCTATAGAAAATAGTGCGCTGTATCTATACCGAGTCCATTGTTTCAACTTGAGATATGCTTGGTACTATAGTGGATTGTTTTGCGATACTGCCTATGAAAAACATGGTGCGCTGTGTCCATGCCAGGTCATTGTTTCAACCTGAGAAATGCTCATTTATAGATTATAAGATACCACGGTGGAAAGCTGTGCGCGCCACATGTTATTTATAACCCTAGTTTTCACCCTGAAACAAATCTATAAATATTGTCCAAAGTTGCATCCCTGGAATACATCCACATCTGTGCTATCCTACTTAGCTAGAGAAAAACTACATTAGTCAAATCATTTAGGGTATGTTTGTTTCACAATTCAAGAATTTGAGCTATGTATGTAAGAGAAAATAAAAAAGTTGAATTTGAATTTTTGTGAGAGAAAACACTGTAGCAATAGAACTTGAGTTGTGAAAAGAACAAGGCCTTAGTTTTGCTATCATGAAGTTTCAGGTCGTGATCTCTGAAGAGGATGATGAGAATGGCGAATTCTTAAGTTTAGACGTTTCAAAGATCGGATCAGCCGTATACCCAAAAAATTGCTCCATCTGCAAGGGAGTCTTCAGTTCAAGGTTTGACATGATATCCCCCCCGAAATGGATTGATTTTTTAGGCTTAATGTCAAAATGTTTAAATTTGCTTTTATGGAGGTGATTTTGTTACCCTTTGTTTCCCCATTGAAAGCATAGCAAAAAATTTTCCACACCATTTTCGTCTCTGTTAGAATTGACTCCCCTCTCATCTGCTTATAGAAGAAACCTGATTTTATGCCGTTACCTTAATTTACAAATCACCAAGAAAGGAAGGGCTTAAATGTTTAAATTTGCTTTTATGGAGGTGATTTTGTTACCCTTTGTTTCCCCTAAATTGAAAGCATAGCAAAAAATTTTCCACACCATTTTCGTCTCTGTTAGAATTGACTCCCCTCTCATCTGCTTATAGAAGAAACCTGATTTTATGCCGTTACCTTAATTTACAAATCACCAAGTTAAGAAAAATATCTCCCACTCTGCATTTTATAGAATCTTTTTCCCCTCAGGATTTTGATGAACTTTTTTTTTTTATTGAACTTGTCAAGTGGATTTTGATTAACTTTTCAAGTGGATTTCCTATATATAATTCCAACATTTTGAGAATCAAGTATTATCTGTATGTGAAATATCTCCTCGCACCACATCGATCAATCAGGCTGTTGACTTATTCCTGTACTTTTGCAGTTGACTGAACATGTTAAAAGGACATGGGTGACCTGTGAAGTATGATCTCAATCTTTCCAATCTCTTATAGAGGAGTATGATTTCCCTCCGAATGGTCAAGGGCTCGTGCGACATTACCCAGTAATGGAAAGTTGGGGGTAGAAGTTTCTGGACATGGGGTTGCCAGATGCCTTTTGTGGTGGTCCATGGACAGATTATTTCTGTGTATGTACCTATCGCGGAGGTCGAAAACGGGGCATAACCTCACCTTGTAGCTTGTGAAATTCTTGCAGACCGCACCTGATATGATCAAGGGTAGAGGGTAGATTATTTTAGTAGACTACGCACCCAACCATTAATGCATTGCCTTTAAAAATAAAGGTTATTATGGACTATGCAATCCATGGGCGTGAATTTTGTCCTTGTGATATATCATTGGGTAATTTGTGAATGGTGTGGCTGAATCAGTTTTTCCCAAAGCTAAAGGATACAGATATGCGATTTGCAGTGGATTTTCAACCAAAAAGAAATTTGTTAGGCAGTTATGTCCGTATTCAGATCAAGTTTTTTGGCTCTTGGGTTGGGTTGTTTCTCTGCTTCATAGTGCTCCCTCTCCACCTATCATATTGGAAAGTACGTGTAAAATTTATAGCAGTATGAATTTGTATTATGAGAAGTAGAATAATATAATCAAAGAGTGTAATTTGAGTTGCAAAATATATTTGAATGTAAGTTCTAGCCTTTATGTAGAGATGCACAATGGGCTGGGGCCTGTGGACCGGTCTAGACCCATCTTGACACAGTGACGGGCCGGGCCGGCACGGCCCGTCACTGTTTAAGGCTCAGCTTAGCCCATAAATATTGGTGGGTTGGGCTAACATATATCGGCCCATGGGTCAGGCCGGGCTGGGTCGGCCCGTCTAGGCCCATGATGGGCTGGCCCAACCTAGCCCGTCTAGGCCCATAATGGCCCGGTCCAGCCCAGCCCATCTAGATTCATAATATTTTTATGTTTTTTTTTTCTTTTTTTTTAGTAATTTTGTAAACATCTTATGTATAATTATCCTTATTGTACTCTTTTTTTCCTTACCAAGGTTATGTCTCATTGAGTTTTTCTTAGAAAGACTTTTATTTAATGAGGTAATCGTAAAAAAAATAATATTTTTCATATTTCTATTGACTATTTAAACTTATATATTTATTAACTTGTTTAAAAATTTAAAAATAAAAATTAAAAAAATTAAAAATTAAAAATTACATGTGTAGATAGACTGATCCATCTAAACCCATGATAGGCCAAGATGGATCTTGAGTGGGCTGGCCCATTCAAGGCCCGTGACACAACCCATCTTGGCTTGTGGCACGACTCATCTTAATCCACGTAAAATTGACTTGTAGTGTAGATTGGGCCGATGTCATTCTTATACGGGTGTCCAGTCCGGCAGTATGAATTTGTATTATGAGAAGTAGAATAATATAATCAAAGAGTGTAATTTGAGTTGCAAAATATATTTGAATGTAAGTTCTAGCTTTTATGTAGAGATGCAACAATGGGCTGGGGCCCGTGGACCGGCCTAGACCCATCTTGACACAGTGACGGGCCGGGCCGGCACGGCCCGTCACTGTTTAAGGCTCAGCTTAGCCCATAAATATTGGTGGGTTGGGCTAACATATATCGGCCCATGGGTCAGGCCGGGCTGGGTCGGCCCGTCTAGGCCCATGATGGGCTGGCCCAACCTAGCCCGTCTAGGCCCATAATGGCCCGGTCCAGCCCAGCCCATCTAGATCCATAATATTTTTATGTTTTTTTTTTCTTTTTTTTTAGTAATTTTGTAAACATCTTATGTATAATTATCCTTATTGTACTCTTTTTTTCCTTACCAAGGTTATGTCCCATTGAGTTTTTCTTAGAAAGATTTTTATTTAATGAGGTAATCGTAAAAAAAATAATATTTTTCATATTTCTATTGACTATTTAAACTTATATATTTGTTAACTTGTTTAAACATTTAAAAATAAAAATTAAAAATTAAAAAATTAAAAATTACATGTGTAGATAGGCTGGTCCATCTAAACCCATGATAGGCCAAGATGGACCTTGAGTGGGCCGGCCCATTCAAGGCCCGTGACACGACCCATCTTGGCTTGTGGCACGACTCATCTTAATCCACGTAAAATTGACTTGTAGTGTAGATTGGGCCGATATCATTCTTATACGGATGTCCGGTCCGGCCCACAAAATTCGTGGCCTGGGCCGGCCCGGCCTGTGGCCTGTGTAGGCCTAAGGAGAACAGGCCGGGCCGGGCCGGCCCGTTTTTGCATCTCTACTTTATGTATTTGTAATTGCTGAAGATTAACAAAGCAAGATTTTGTTTCCACTACATTCATTCCGTTCATATTGTATTTTGTTCCCATCGATTAATACATTTTTTAGACATTTTATTCCTGAAAGATTATCATTTTTCATAAAACAATCTGACGGAATTGAATAAAACGGGTGTGAGGTACACTAGATGATATATTCCTAAATTATAGAGTACCTCTTTAATATTATTTAAACAATAAAGTATCTTTCTATTATTACATTGATATGCCACTAAAAACTCTAAAAAAAGAGCATAATTTAACAGTTTTTTTTTCCCTTCAAATAATTGGTGTCACCCATTTTTATTACTATTTTGATGATCGCCAATTAGCCCATCAGTGATTGAAAAATCTTGGTTTGGCACAGAGCGTTCGGTGGTGCTGGCAATGAAAGTGGAAAAATTTGGATCCCAATTCTCATATTGAGGTTTAAATTGACTGCCTCTGATCTTGATTCTTGAGAGAGAATCAAATGCATGAACTCATTTTTTTGCCTCCCTCTCTTCGCGATCTTGTTACTCTTTTAGTCTTTAACTGTTAATCTTGAATATATTTTTTATTACTTCTCCAATCCAAAACTTAGTTACGCTTAAAAAAAAAAAAGTAATGGGCTTTGTCTATTTTGAGGAAACAAGTCCTTTTGACAGGATAATTTGGGAAAGACTTGCAATGTTTGAACGGCAGACTGTTAAGCCTGTATCTAGAGAATTGCATTGAAATTTCTTTGAAGAATCTGCAATCTGCATGTAAATCAGGCAACATATATTTGGCTAAACTAATTAAAGCACAAGAAGAAAACATTTTTTAAGCAAGTTTATGCATGCCTTGGTGCTTGTTTACTTTGCTGTCAGCAAAACTTTTAGTTGTTCAGTACCAGTGTTAAATTGACAACTTCCTCTCAACTAAACTATGCCCAAGAGTTTTCTCAATACTCCTTTCTTTCATTAATTCTCTAGCCATCTTCACTTCTTGCCATTTCCCAGCCCTGGCATAAATATTAGAAAGAAGCACATAAACCCCACTACCCTGAGGCTCCAACTCAGTTATATGAGTTCTGATTCTATCTGCTAGATCAACATTTTCATGTATCTCACATCCATTTAAAACAGCACCCCAGATGGTGATATTTGGTTCAAATGGCATTTCCTCCACTAGTCTCATCGCCTCTTCGAACCGACCTGCTCTGCTCAAAAGATCAACCATGCAACCATAGTGATATTGATTTGGAGCAATGCCATAGACCTCTCTCATCTCGTTGAAGTGTCTCCAACCCTCGTCAACCAGACCAACATGGCTGCAAGCAACCAAAATCCCAGCATACGTGATATGGTCAGGAACAACAGTAGCATCTTCTTGCATGCTTTTGGAAGTCCCAAGAGCTTCCACACCGTGACCATGTATAGCCAAGCCTAAGATCATGCTAGTCCATGCTTTAACATCCTTTTTCCGCAAATTGTCGAAAATCTTCCGAGCACTTTCCAAATCTCCAGTTTTGGCATACATGTCTACTAAAGAAGTCCCTATGGAAAGATCTTTGCTCATGCTGGTTTTCAATATGTAAGCATGAAGACATTGTCCCAAAGTCGAAACCCCCAGACTGGCACAGGCACCTATCACACCCAAAAAGGAAGCTTGATCTGGGACAAACCTGGCAATCTGCATATCAACAAAGAGATTAACGCTTTCCTCAGCCCGGCCATGCAGGTTATATGCGCCGATCAGGGAATTCCAAGCAACCAAGTTTCTTTGAGGCATTTTATTGAACAGATTCCTTGCAATTTCTAAGCTGCCACATTTTGCATACATATCCACTATGGCAGTAGCAAGAATTATATTAAAATTATCACTCAAAGTGAAGGGATCATGCCCTAGACGGGCAAGGCGATTGTGAACCCATTTTCCGGTATCTACATCCCGAGTTCGAGCACAAGCAACCAAAACATTCACTATTGTAATCTCATTAGGCTCTACACCCCAACTTTCCATATCTCTAAAAGCCTTTATAGCCTCACTTGCCCTTTTATTGTTTACCAACCCGGAAACCAAACTAGTCCAAGCAACCACATTCCACTTAGGAATAACATCAAACAGTTTCAACCCTGCTTCCATGGCTCCACAACAAGCATACATGTGGAGCAAAGCAGTGGAAGCATACACATCAAAGTCAAACCCAGTTTTCACAATACAGTTGTGAACAGATCTTCCGCAGTTGTGATCTCTGATTACCGAACATGCTTTGAGCACAAACGGGAACGTAAAATTGTCCGGCAAAGAACCCATTTGCAGCATTTTTCTGTACATGATCAGAGCCTCAACTGGGGTGTCACTGTTGGAGTAACCTCTGATCATGGAGTTCCAAATGTAGATGGTCGGCTGAGCAATTCTGTTAAAAACCGACCTTGCGTAGTGGAGGTCACCGGCTTTTGGATCGACACAAAAATCAATAAGCTTGCTCACAGGAATTCTACTTCTGATAACCGGTGAAGTTATCATCAAGCCATGAAGCTGTTTCAGCTCAGCCATAGTTTTGCATTTCTCGAAGAGGCATAGAATTGTGTCGTAATGTTTCTTCATAACTCATACATGCTTCTTCTGTTTGAGTAGAAGAAATTTATACATATCTATATATAATGGCCTGAAAATGGGCATTTTGGGAATCATCTGATAAAATAATAAAAGGTCAAATAAATACACTCCTGTACCAATATTGCAATTATAATACCCTTTGTAGGTGAAAATTGAAATGACATTTTCAAATTCCATGACAAATTCAATGCAAGTTCAAATTGAGAGAAGAATACAATGACTGAAAACAAATTGAACCAAAAAAAAAAAAAAGACAAAATCTTCATCTCATTGAGTATGGTATGAAAAATTACAGAGAAAAACAAAAGCAAAAAATTGTTCTTTTTCAAGCTTTCTTCAAAAACACTCTTCCTCTTTTTCCTCTTCTCATTCGTCTTCTCACAGTGTCGACCAGCGGAATCGTCACCCTGAACCTAGCAAGCCATTTCTGCAATTCCTCTCTCCTGAAAGTGAGACCGACCAGAAAACTCCAGAGGCAAAGTCCAAGAACCCAAGCCTGAACTCCTCCGGTCTTCTCCCACCACTGAATCAAAGCGACTCCGAAGGGACCAAGCCCTAGGCCCCACCAAAACGCGTTGCTCTCGATTTCTCTCCCAAACAGCAAACCTAAACCACAAATCGCAATGAATCCGTACAGCCACAAGTTCTTTTTCCCCCCCCGTCGAACCCTCCCCACCCGAAGCCCTTCCAGAACCCTAGACCGCCGCCGCCGCCGGCGGTTCCATCTCCGCCGCCGATTTCTTCGAGGACCAAATCCAAAGGCTGCGGCAAGATCTTGAGGCTCGACGCGACGACCGAAATCAGATTGATCAAGAATCTTGTGGATTTATCGGAATTGATTCGTTTTCTTCTCTTTCTTGCGCAAATGATCGGATTTTGGAGGTGGATTTGAGGCGCATTGGAGAGGAAGGAGCCGAAATCGGGAGATTTTCGTGGAAATGGAGAGATTTGAAGCGAAACGGTCCTTTCGGCGATGGTGTTGAAGCGTCGAGAGTTGTATGAGAGGAGGATTGGGGCTTTGAAGATTAGGGTTTTCAGCATTGTTCTCCTGGTGTGCTCTGCTCTGAAGAAGAAGAAGAAGAAGAAGTAGAAGAAGAAGAAAGTAACCGTTTGAAAAGAGCTGAGCGGGTAGTGAGTTTTAGGCCATTGTTTTTCGTGAATGTTTTTCTTTCTCTCTCTCTCTTTTTCTTCTAAAAATATATAATAAAATAAAAGTTTCTCTCTCTAATTTCTGGTTAGTAAGATTGTCAATAGTGATACGACGACACGACTTAAAATTTATACGAAATTAACGAGTTTGAGTTTATCATAAATAAGTCCGATTCAAAATCAGGTCGAATTCATGAAACACAATTAAATAACATGTCATTTTCAAATTGACCTGTTAACCCGTAATTGACCCTTCATAACCTGTTTATTAAACGTGTCATATTTGGGTAATACGATTATACAACCTGTTTGTTACCCGTTTATTACTCAGGTTAAAAATGTTTTACGCTATTTAGTCTACCTCTCCATTCTCGCGTCGCCTCACCACCTCACCCAAGTCCAACATTTCTACTTTTCTTCTCTCTCGACTCTTGTCTCTTCTTTTCTCTTCTCTGTGACTCTCCACCGCCTAAGCTCTCAGTCCACCGGAGGATCACCGCGTAATCTCTCAGTCCACCGGACCACCACGTGATCTCTCAGTCTACCGGATCACCGCCGCTTCCCTCAGTCCCCCGGACCACCGCGTGATCTTTCCTCTCCACTCGCCACACAAAACACGGTGTTTCTCCGCCGCAAGCAAAGATTAAGGTAAAACCCATCCCCGCTAATTTTCTTGTCTTTCGGTTGGATCTATCGGTGATATGTATATATCTATGTAAGTTGTTTGGATCTTTTCAGATCATGGCGTTTCGTCTTGTTCGGATCCTATCATTACAATTTTGTGTTTTTTCTGTACTGTTAGATCTTTAGGCATTTCTTAACCGAATGACGTGATGTGATATATGTTGGTTCCCGAATCGAATTCAGGTGCGGAAGCGTGGGAAAACAGCGGATCGTGTATAACAAAAATTTTCA